TGTTCTGAACGTGGCAGAATCTTATAGCAAGACCGTTATGGTCGAAGTAGTATAAATAGAAGTCTTAGCATTAAGATTTCGTGTGTCATATCTATTGTACAAAAAACTCAGTAAACATTCAAATTACCACATGGCTAGGAAAACGAATGCAAGAGCAATGTATGTATGATAACACCACATGTTTATGATTTAATGAAAACTCTTTATCATTTCCAGTACTTTCCTTTATCTTTATGTCAATACCATTTACAAGTTTTTTTGCATTTAAAGTGTTTTCATTCGAAATCTTTTCACTGATGCCTTACATTTAAATGTTTTCTTTCCATTTCAAATACTTTACATTTCAGAAACTGTTATACATTTCATGCCTTTATCTTCAAGTTTTTATCCTTCGAATACCTTTTTCACTTAAAGCCATTTTACAGTTTTCTTGCATTAAACGCTTTCTTCATATTTCGAATCTTGCACATTAACCGTTTTTATGATTCAAAGTCATTTACTTGTCTTTTATGCAGTTTTTACATGTCTTTACAATTGACCTTTATTCATGCAATTTAGTTTCGCGCACATTTATTTGATCACACCTTCAGATCTTTAAGAGAGAAATCGAAATAAGTTAAACACCTACACAACATTCTAAATACCAACCATGAATACCAGTTCGATCATGAGAGTTACCCTAATGACCAACACGTCCTAGGATCAATCTAGTCGATCCTGCGAGTTACCAGAGAAATTGAATAACAGTCAGTAAGTTTATTCGATAGTTTGGAGGACTAGCGGTTGTTTACCAGAAATCACTGTAAACAACTGGACAAATGAAAGTTTTCTATTTTCTGATTGAAATCCAAGTTTCACGGTAACTTGCTGGAGATAATGGAATCAACTGTTACCTGAAAATGCATTAGAAAGATCCAGTGTGGGGCTGTTTTAGAACGAGTCCGTATTAGTCTGAATTCATAGGTATATGAGAAGGAGTCTGTGTGGGGCTATTTCATGATGAGTCTGTGTTAGACTGCATCTGGATGAGGAGAAGGAACCATGTAAGATTGCTTCAAGATGAGTATGTGTTAGACTGCATCTGAAAAGTTTGTACCTAACCCGGTCCAGCCCAACAATATTCTTTTTTTATTTTATTATTTTGTTAGTTTAGTTTGTACAAAATCTAGGTTCTGGCCTTTAAGACCAATCCGGGTTACACCCCATCCTGACCCAAATAGATTATTTCTTTTAGTTAGAAATATGTTAGATTTTCCTTATAAAAAAACATGTACATTTTCGAAGTAAGTTTTTATTCTTTTATTATTTCTTTTATTCAAAAATTACTACAATATATATATATATATATATATATATATATATATATATATATATATATATATATATATATATATATATATATATATATATATATATATATATATATATATATATATATATATATATATATATATATATATATATATATATATATATATATATATATATATATATATATATATATATATATATAAACACTTTTTTAGTTAAATAATTAAACTAAAAAAATATTATTTTATATTATTAATTATTTTACTAATTAATTTTATCAAATAGATGTTTTAGGTTTAATTAATTATTTATTTTTAAATTCAATTAGGTTGTAAAATATTTACTTTAGGATTCATTACTTCAATTATTTTCCTATACAAAACATCAAAAATATTTTTCTTAACCAATTAATATTTTTTTTAGAATTAAAAAATAATTAGACTTACGCTTTATTTAATTTCCCTTTTAATTAAATTAACATAGATTTTTAGGTTTTGTTTAAATTAATTAATTCTTTTTCTAATTAAAACCAATTAATATTAGGTTAATTATCAAACCTTTTCTATCAAAAATACAAAAATATTCCAATTATTTTGTTCCTTATTTCTTATTTATATTCCTAGATCAATTGTATTTGATGCAACTATTTAGTTTGTAATAGTAATTGGGGCTTTATTGCTTTCTTCCCCTCATTTGTAAATTTGTACTCCCCATTTCCAAAGCCTTGTAATAGCGTAGGACATTTAAATTCGATAATTTATCGCTTTCCTTATTGTTGCTAGTAATTAGGGTTTGTATGGCAAGACTAAAATCAAACGTTAGAAAACCCTAATTCAAGATAATATACTTGATATAAACACACTTTGCACACATGCACTTCTATAGTAACCCACACTCGTTGCCTCAGATTAAAACAGTCATGTCCCTCGAACGTGGGATACTTTAGCAAAGATCCTCGATTAAAAGATCGTAGTCCCTCGATGACCCTTCAATGTTGCATTTGGTAAACGATCTTAGTCCCTTACGATAATTTCTAAAACATCTTACAAGTTGCCTTCTATGACCGTACGATGACCCACGTCTGTCCCTCACATCCAATGATATGGCTCTCTACCAATCAATGGTAGACAAGCACTATCTAAAGGAGGAGGAAAAGAACAAAGACTTTTTGAGTAGGTAGATTGCTCATGATTGCTTGTTCACAAACAAAAATATTTCCACACTTCACACTTTTAAAAAATCTTTCAAAACAAATATTTTGTATACATTCTCAACTATACGAGAATCATTAGAAAATGGCCTTACATTGACATTTTCAAACATCTTTCCAAACACTTCCTTTCAATAAATATTTTCAAAACTAACACTTTGTATACATTTTCAACGATACGAGAATCATTGCAAAGTTTGACAAACTTAGGCGTTTTCAAAATATTTTCAAACTTACACAAACACAAAGCATTTCAAAGTGATCAAGCAATTAAGAGTCCGTAGATAACTATGGATGAAAAGGGTGCTAACACCTTTCCTTTTTATAACCTACCCCCCGAACTCAAGAAAATTCTCAAAAGACCTTTCCTGTTCTTTTCATCCTTTCCTTTATTGGATAAAAGAAAAGTCGATGGTGACTCTTGCTATCCACAACATTTGCGATAAAACGCAAAACACCAAGTCAGTTCTCCCACCATATTACGATGGTGATGTGTTTTTATTTGTTGTTTGTGTATGGCTTGTTGTAAATAATACTCTTAATGAAAAAAATTACGTTTAGATCTTAAAAAATTGCATATAGTTTGCATGCAATTTTATGTTGTCGAGCTTGTAGCACGAGTGAGACAATTTTTTCGATTGTGTCCGACCTGATGGTATAAACCACTTTCTTTCTAGCTTGTCAAGGGAGTCTATTTCAATTGTGATATGCTTGCTTTTTGGACGATCTTTTTTATTCCTTCACATTTGATTATTGTGCCATACTATTTCCTCTTCGTATGCAGGCCAATAGTCAGGTTTCGCTACCACTGGAAAACCATTATTATATATGTTGAGCAACGTTTCAGACTTATAAATGGGAGATAGAAGTAGTAATGCATCTTGATGAGTATACATACATGTCGCAATGACATGAGAGCAAGGCATACGAAAGACTTGAAACTTTCCACAATGGCACCAACGAGATGATAGTATAACCCTATACTCTTATCTTAGCAGACCTTCGTTGTGGTCGATTGTCTCTTTAACAATGAAGTTGTGGCTATGTCGGTCGAATCTTATAACAAGATGGATATTGGCTTTGGCACCTTCTGTCTTAATATATTTCATGCAGCTTTCACTCCATAGTTGTCTCGATTGCAAGAATGCGTTCCATATTTCACCTATTTTGAAAACAACGAAGCCATCCTAAAATATGTTAATTTCACCAAAGCGGTTACTAGGAGGTTTCACATGCCTTTGAATACACTGTTCATTGATTTAATAAGATTTGTTGTCATGTGGCCCCATCGTTGTCCATTGTCGTACGATCTTATCCATTTGTCCACTAGAATATTATCAATCCACCTACCTGCATCGGGATTTGACAATCTGATCTCGTTGCGATAGTGTTTGAACGAAGGTTGTGTTAATGCATACCCCGCATTCATAACTATTTTCCTAAGAACCCTATCTCTGATCTCCCTCGTGAAATTTTGTACGATATATCTAACGCAGTAGACATGTCGATTTTGGAAATGTTATAAAAATATCTAACTGCACGATTAATTCCAAATTTATTCTTGCAATATTGGAAAAGTGGAGACCCGAGACACACACCTTTCATCTACCAATAGATAAATATACTGTCACACTAGAGAACTTGTACATGTTATTGAGTCTCTCTATCGATGGTAAGACAGTGAATGAGTCGGTTCAACAGCTCAATTTTCTATGCAAGGAATTGTTGAAGAAAAATATTGTAGAAGCAACTGATGCTAGAGACCAAGATATATTACTAACCGTACTTAAAAAGCATTACGAGACTCTTGAGTCGAATGAAATTTTGATCGATGAGACAAAAATAATTAAAATTAAAAGTTATATTATGATATTATTTGAAAATCTATTATTTTCCGAAAATATAAAACACAAGTGAAAATTTTATGTATTTAAATTTGTTTAGTACAATAAATTTACTTTGTTAGAGACAGCAAAACCGAGCCACATGGCAACTTTTGCTTTATCTGATTGATTAAACGACGAAGACACTCTACCTCTTTTGCACGAAAGATAGACAATATGTATCTCAACCCAACCAAACCGCTCTCACTCAATCTAGTCAACAAAATGCCCACTCCAAGACAAAGATGTCCATTTCCACTATTTAAAAACACAATAATCTATACAAAATTTATCACTAAAACAAAAATACCTCTAATTCTAGTCTGAAAATAACGCTGTTTCCGATAACACCACTAAATAAACCAAAAATTAAAAAAAAGAAACTACTAAAACATACTCCACTATCAAACTTCACTTCCCACACTAGTGTTAGTTTTTGAATTTTGTTACTCTTGTTATTTTGACAAAGCAATTTTCTACTTTTTATAACAACATGTGGGGTTTGGTTTCCTTTTATGTAACCTTATAATTTTCTTCATTCACATTCACATTTTCCTCTCAACATAAGATCCACCACCACTCCACCACCGTAGCCCATGGCGGATGGACCCATCCCCACCACCAGCGCCTCCACCACCAGACCAAAGCGACCACGACCACCTTCAGGACGCACCAACCTAGCCTCATGTGTCGTGGCCACAATCTTCTTAATCTTCATCATCATCGTCATCCTCATAGTCTACTACACAGTTTTCAAACCCCAAGACCCCAAGATCGCCGTCAACGCCGTCCAGCTCCCCTCCTTCTCCGTCACCAACAACACCGTTAACTTCACCTTCGCACAATACGCCTCCGTTAGAAACCCTAACCGAGCCGCTTTCTCTCACTACGACAGCTCTCTTCAAATCCTCTACTACGGTAGCCAGGTCGGGTTCATGTTCATCCCCGCCGGCCAGATCGACGCCGGGAGAACACAGTACATGGCCGCAACATTCTCTGTCCAGTCTTTCCCATTGTCCGTACCGCCGAATATGGGTCCCACGCTGGCGAATGGTGATGGTGTAGGGTTTAACTTCGGGTTGAGAGTTCAACCGACTATGGAGATTGAGTCGAAGCTCGAAATGGCGGGGCGTGTTAGGGTTTTGCATTTCTTCAGCCATGAAGTGAAGGTTAGAACCGGTTGCAGAGTCGCCATTGCCGTTAGTGACGGTTCTGTGTTAGGTTTTCATTGCTAAGTTTTCTTTTTTTGTTTTGTAACTGTAGAATTTAGTGGTAAATCTAAATATTATATATATATATATATATCAAAATCAAAGTTAATTGTTAGTGATTTTGGGTAAGAAAAGCACGCAAATCAAAATTGTAAAAATGATTTTTCAGATTTTAAATTATGAATGCAGAGTTTTGACATTGTTTTTAAGTTGTAAATAAACAATTTTTTGGTTGTTTGTTTATAATTATTGGTAGTAATTTATTTTATTTTATGTGAATGGGAAAGTGGGGACAGAGAGGGAAATGAAGGGAAAGTGTTGTGTTTGCTTTATCGATACAAGTTAAAGGGAGTGGAGTGGGTGATGAGTGTGAAGAGAAGATGGAACTCGAAGCACTAATTAATTGTAGGTTAAGCAAGGTTGGATGCTATGACTTTTTGCATTTACATTACTTGTTGAGAGTGATAGGAATTGACAAAATGATTCACTTTATGCAAAGAGGTTTGAATATATTAGAGAGACAAGAGTGAAACGCGCCTCTCTTTAAGGAAGTTCATCGGCATTGTGTGGAAGTATCTAGCTAGGTCGAGTTTCCTTTTCTATCCATGATTATAAGATCTTGGATTTTTTTCCTTTTCCACTCCTAAAAACTCCTCATAAATCTCTATAATTGATAAAGACATTTCTTTATTTTAGAATTCATAGTTGTTTTTGAGAACTATGAATTTGAAATTGTTAAATATATAAAGAAACATAATGAACTAGAACATTTCATTATATAAGATGAAATTGAACGAAGTGTTATATGTTAAATACAAAATAAATTATGAAGAAAAAAATCAATTTAATACAAACATGCTAAATTAGAAGAATTAGTTATTTTTTCATAAAACTCAATTAGGTATGTTGTAGTTGTTCCGGAGCAAATCAGACCTGAACAAATAGCACGAATATATATGGTCAATGTAACATCTAACTTGATTAGTCCTTTGATATTGTTCCACTAGAGAATAATTTTTGGCAAAATACTCATTTTGGTCCCTTAACTATACCATTGGGTTCATATTGGTCCCTTAACTTTTTTTTGTGTCATTTTGGTCCCTTAACTTTCAAAAAGTTTCATTTTAGTCCTTTTTGTCTAAATTCGTAGCTAATTAGACGGAAAAACTTTGAAATCAGCCGCTAAATTCGTAGCTAATTAGACAAAAAGGACTAAAATGAAACATTTTGAAAGTTAAGGGACCAAAATGACACGAAAAAAAGTTAAGGGACCAATGTGAACCCAAGGATATAGTTAAGGGACCAAAATGAGTATTTTGCCATAATTTTTTTGGGTGAAATGGTGGAATTCAATACGATTAGGGAATAAAAAATGCTCGGTGAAATGGTAGAATATAGTCTCGATGCAGTGGAGTGGACATTTGGTATGACAACTCAGAGATGGAATTACAATATTAACACTCCAAAACCAATAAGAAAATGAAAACTAATGTGAGTTATGAGTTAGAGAGAGAACACCTCAAATCTCACAGAGGTGTTTTGTATATAAATGATAGTTATATATGTTTGCTACCATTTCGGCGAGAGACTGTATGATGACATCTAACGACAAACATTTTTCCCTTGTGAAGATCTAGGGTGGAGCTTTCGAGTAAGGTTACATTGTACCCTTAGTGTTTAAGTGGAGTGGATATGACAGGTGATTAAGCCTCATTCTTTTGGGCCAATGACCGACACATAATATTTTCCCCCAAGGCTTCTCGTGGCGCAGCGATGAGAAGTCTTTAAGAAAATTGGATCGCACTTATTTCGTCGGGTCCATCACTTGGAAAAATGGTAATGATTTACGAGTCAGTGTGAATAACTTTGGGAATAAGCGCATTAAATGCCAATCTCATCATTGAAACGTTTCCCAAGATTGCTTTCACATGTGGCATTAATTCCTTAGACCATGGTGTAATATTTCCCTATAAGGTGTTCAAGTATACTCAAGTGTCGTTACAATATCGAGGCAAATTTAACTATGGTTATTCATATGCTTATTTTCTTTTATTTAAGGATGTTGGTTTTCTTGCTTCACCCTAATATATAAAGGTTACTTTACCTTCATAATAATGTTTTCACTCTTTGCGCAAATTGTAAACCTTTTCTTCTTCTACGAATCTTGATCATTTTCCCTTGAGCTCTCGTGACTCCTGTTCTACCTATCTTTATTTTCTTCTCCGGGTCTTGCATTTTCTATGCATTTTCTCGATTCATCGCATTCCTTGAATTGTTCTTTGCTTTAATCGATTTCTCAAGCTTAAGCTTTTTTAGGTACCATTTCTCTCCCTGCTTACCCTTGTCAATTTTCCCTTCCTTGATTTAGTCATGGCTAATGTGGGAGACGACCCTACGAATGTTCTAAAATTTTCTAGTGATGCGAGCAATGCTTCATCTCGATCTAAAATAGTAAGCCCATAAATTCTAGATGTTGCACCTTTAGTAGTTAATCAAACCATTTCAGACCTCATTGTTCTTAGTGATAGTTCTGACTCTGGTGAGGGTTCTATCAAAGATGGTAGTGAACCATCGAGTTTCCATCCTGGTGGAAATATAAATGGTTTTGTTAGTCCGTCATTAGGGATATTGACACATGCCCTTCTTCTCTTAAGCTTGTTGAGGGATGTCGAGATGAACTAGGAACTCGTCTCTTTATCAATCTGTTTACATTTGTAAATGGTCAAAAGCCTTGTATTAAGGAGGTTAGGGATCACCAAAAATTTGGGAATTATTCCCCGATTCTTGGAAAACGTTGTCTTTTTACATGACAATTGGGAAGACCCGGTTCGAAAGGAGCGTCAAGGTCTCTTCATGCCTACTTATGTTTCTTTGTAGAACTTGGTGAAGGCATAATCATTGGGGACATATTTCTTCTTTAACAACACTCAGAAACTAAAAATATGCTTAAATAGATGTTGGAACATCCCCTGATTAGTTTGTTTCCCATGTTGAACCCAATCAAAGGATATGTAGTTCATTCAATAGGAGATATATACCTTTCTTTAAATGCATGTTTTCTAGGATATGATTCAAGTTTCCTTCAACAACTTCGAGGAAGGTGTGTTGAACCACTTGAGAATTACCCTATCTCAAGTGTACTCGGTGGTTTGGGCATTTGGTAAAGTGTTTCTCTATTGGTGTGAGTACCAATGAAGGTGCTGACCTTGAAATTATTCTTTCATATCTTAAATGTGACTCGCACTTTGGCCAACAAAGACTAGGGGCAGATGTTTCTCTCACTCTGTCACCCGTTGAGGATGTTAGATGTCTACCTTGAGAGTTGGAAAAACTTCAACAATTGTTACTTATTGGTAACCCCCTTAATTCAAGAGGCCCACTCTTATTTTTTCACCCTTCCAAAAGGCAACCCTTCTGTGATGCGGTGGGAGAACTGACTTGATGTTTTGCGTTTGTGTTCGCAAATGTTTCGGTTTAGCAAGAGTCGCCACCGACTTTTATTTTATCCAAAAGGAAAGGTAAAAAAGCACAAGAAAGACCTTTGAGATTGTTTTTGGGTTCGGGGGGTAGATTATGAAAAGGGAAGGTGCTAGCACCCTTTTCATCCATGGTTTTCCATGGGCTCTTAGTTACTTATTTTAGATCACTTGCTTTTGCTTTTCAATTGTTTGAAATAGTGCTTTTGTGTGTGGTTTTTGAAAATATTTTGAAAAGAGGCCTTTGTCTAGGAAACCTTTGTAATGATTCTTGTTTGAATATATACAAAGGTGTTTGTCTTTTGAAAAATGTTTTAATATTTGAAAGTTTGTTTTGGGAAATGTTTTGAAATTGTGTTGTGTGTTTTTGAAAATAGCAAGGATGATTTGCAAATTGATCAAGTAACTAGGAGTTGTCTACCCTACTCAAAGATCTTTCCTACACATTTTTATTCCTTTGATATTGTTGTTTTACCATTGCATTTGGTAAACAACCCTATTTTTGGATGTTAAACGGGACAGGCGTGGGTCATCGTATGACCATGATAGCAATTGTGCCAAGTATCTTAGCAAAATTTTTTGAGGGACAAGATCATTTTTGTATAGGCAACCAAGATAGTGTCATCGAGGGACTATGATCTTTTTGTTTTGATTTTGTTTTGTTTTGCCAATATACCTAGCATGCATACCATGGCCATTTTTAAGGCAACAAGTGGATGAAACCCTAGGGGTGCTTGTGTGCATTGTGTTGTCATTTTTCATGCATTTTTGTCTTGTGTTTAGTCATGCTATTTGTTTTGTTTTTGGTCTTTGAATACAAACCCTAATTTACTATCATGGCATATAAAGCAATAAAATGCGTAAAAGTAAATCTAAGACTATTACAACATGATTATGGAGAGGGGGATACAAGTTTGAATAAGGGGATATTGCTCAAAAATAAACCCTAAAACTATTATTACAACCAAATTGAAATATTACACAAATAAACAAATGGACAATTATTTAAATATGCAAATAAATATAGATATGCAAAATGTTTTTGTATTTATTTTATATATGTAAAATAAATTATTTAATGTCTCAAAAATAAGAAAAATATTAATGATTATTTTTGAAAAGGGTGAAAACCCTAATTTTGGTTTTAAAAGAAAATGCACTATATTATTTATTTATTCATTTTTATGTACAAGAAAATAAATATAAATATATACAAAAATGTTAAAAATTAATATTTGTGAGAAAATACTATTTTAAGTGTATAATATAATAAAATAAAAATATGTAAGTATTTTAATTTTATTTACAAATTTATTTAAGAAAATAAAAGTATTTAACCTAATAAACTATTTTTTGTCATAAAAAATAATAAAAATAATAAAATAAAAATGTGAAAATTTAAGAAAATATTTTTGGTGATTTTTAATATTTAGAAAAAATAAATAAAAGTCAGAAATGTAAAAGAAATAAAAAATATACAAAAATAAAGCAAATGGGCCAAGGGGGTGCAAGAAGCAGAATGGGGGGTGTCAATAGTCAGCCAAACCA